CCCTAGATTATGGAAAATATATTTTCCTTTGCGTAAACTTGCGAGGTATGAGTTTAAAGTTTCTGATGCCTCATGCTCATAGTAGGCTGACATATGTTAAAATCTTATCTGTCACGAATATACACGAGTATATATATATCAAGTTTCTAGCTAAACTCTCATTCATTTTATGGTTGGGGTATGGGCATAAGACGCCAACCAATTAACCATTGAAGCAATTGGCTAGAAATGCATATGGAATTGCTAGCTAATACTCTCTGGGCTCAATTGGACTTGTTGACGCATAAACACATAAATTTCAATAAAATCCCCAACGTAGATAGATGTGTATGCAAACAGCTCGATGAGCAATCATGTGCTTGATTAAATTCTGTTTGAATATTCTTAACAAACCCGAAAGAAAAATAAAAACAAAACCAAAAACCAAAAACGAAAAGGAATATTTATAATCCGGTTGATGCATGCTTTTTGTAGAACACACACGACGCTTTGCTATGATAACAAAAACTCAATCTTGGGCTCTGCTGCTCGAGCAGCGGCCAAGGAAAACAGTCCAAAATACACACAGACACATCCCAAACAACTTGGTAACACTTTCCGCTGTCGATACGTATGACATACACACATACACACACTTGCACACCCGCACAACAACGTTGTCACAGTGCCGACTCCTACACAGCTTATCGCATGCATTGGCAAATTGTCGCCATCATTGGAGGCCACAAAAGATACCAAGTCGCGGCAGCGATCCACAGTGGCCAAAAACACAGTTTAACTGCAGTAGATGAAATAACAGATGCTTAGAAGAAAACTCCAAGTCAACCTGTAAAATAGTTCTACAGGGTTGCCTGAAAAAGGTTCAATTTAACAAAGTTTAAGTTTCAAATTTCTTAATAATATGTCATTTACATCTGAAAGACTTCTAGACTGATAAAATAACTAACTTAATGTTAATCAAAAAGCACCTACTGGTAAAACATAGGCGAAGCTATCACATGTGCTTATTGTTATCGATTTCAAGAAATCCTAAAGTAGCCTATCAAATTTTCTTAACTCAAAGTAATCTTTTGTATTTACTTACTCAATAATTTCAATAAGGACCAATACATAGAGTTCTTTTCGACTATAGATTATTAACGTTATTAAAAGAAATATATATAATTTATTGAAGAATACATTATCCATCCAAACGATTAACGAAAACCGACTGGTAAATATATCGCAGTAAACTTACCAGTTATTGATTTTCTATTAGACCGCTCGTCTTTTAAGTTTAATTATCGACTTTTAATCGATTAAATGATTGTATAAGCCTAACGTTTATTGACGGAACTCACAGTCTATCATTTCTAGACGTTGCCGTTGAAATAGTCATTTTTGCCTCACTGTGCAACATCGGCATTTACGTTGCCAGCTACTTGAGAAGCGATTTTCTCTTCGTCTTATACTCATTTTGGAACCCCAGCCCCCGCACGCGTAAATGCCCATTCCCAGTTCAACTGCGGTTTCATTAGCCGCGGTCTGTCGAGTTGTTGTTGTTGTTGTTGTTGTTGTTTTTGTGGCTCTAACTGCGGCTGTGGTTGTATCTATGGGCTTTGCTGCTTGGCTTCCTTTCATTTCGTTAAGTTTGGTGGCCGCAGCAACGGCTATTGAAATTTTTTTCGCATTTAATGCCCCATAACCATAACAAGTTGAACCCACAGTGCCAGAGAGCAAGCGTTGCGAAGTTGTTGAGAACTCTACTTTAGTAGCACCGGCACCGGAACAAGCCACCCATCCAAATGCCACTCCCCACCGAGCCACGCCCACTGCCCAGCACCACGATTACAGCTGTGGCTCGTTTTTAGCAAATGCAATTAACAAAACACGCTTCTAGCATAAAGTCATTAGTTATTCCATTTCATGAATACGAGTATGGCCCTCAAATTCGAATGCTTCAATGAGTGCGCCAGCGAGTGTGCGTGTGCCTGAGTGTGTGCGAGTGTATGTGTATGCGAGCATATGTAGCATATATGCGGGCTTCGACCATACGAGGGCCGGCGGTAGAGTAAAAGGGCTCGACAAGATGACCACTACAATGTCTCCTTTGAGAGCAATACACTTATTCTAGCGCTTCACTTCTGCCCGATCTAACCAGTCCTCATCAAAAATGCTTGCTCCTCTAAGTTGTCCAATTTTTAATAGTCGATATCAACGGCTTAACATTTCTCTTCAGTATTGAAAAAGAAAAGCTAGGATTTCTAATAGTTGTGGCCGTGCTTATTCTTAGCCCAGCCTTTGGCAATTGCTTTCTTCATTAACGTTTTTAGATTGATCTTTCAGAACCCAAGCGAGTTAGACCTTTTTCTCATTCTAAAGAGCTTGGTGGAGATATACACAAAGTGAAATATTCCTACAATTATTCCCTGTGTATAATACAATAGAACGTACATTCCAAATTTTGTCGTGCAGATCAAGAATATATTTAGATTAAGTATCCGAGATGGTTCCTTCTGCCTGCTACAAATTTTTGCATAAATTCTAAGAAAATAAGACTCTCTTTAGGCATTTTGAATGGGTTCAGGTCTGGTTGCGAACGCTACTTCGTGTCGAGCCCAATTACTTTTCAGCCTGCCCTCTTATGTGTATATGTGCGTGAGTTTATAGTTACAGCAGTATTTTGGTGGATTTTGGCCAGCGTCCGGGCTGCTGGCCAACAAACGAGCACCAATAGCCAATGGCGACAACCCTACTGCCGGCAACTGCGCGACGACCCTACGCTAAATTGGCGTCCAATGTTGCCCGGCTGGCCGGGTAAAATGTTGTTGTACATAGGCCGTCCGAATTGGTATTCCGGCGCCATGTTGTTTGCTTTCACCTCAAGCAGAGTTCGGGCAAATATTTTGAGGCGAGTGAAAAAGGGATGCCAGCCGGATAAAGTTTTCGGCGTGAGTTCTTACTTATATAGTATATGCAAAAATGGTATTCAATACTTAAAGATTTATGAGTCTATGAATCTTGCATGCTATCTACGTGTGTGCGGGTGTGTGTGTGTATGTGCGGGTGTGTGTGCGGTCGGGTGTATGCATGGCGACATGAAATACTGATACGCCAAGTCCCCATAGTGCCCCGCAATCTGTTTTAGCCAAAGTCCGACGCACTGGCGGCCACGCAGTGGCTCAGACTCAAGCTGCGGCACATATAGGGCTTTGCATAAGCCAGAAGAGCGTCGGCCAAAGCCGAAAGTCTAAAGCAAACACCACAAATTAGTCGACGCAAAAGCAACTCTCGCTCTCTCAACAAAGAAAAAAGCGGTAGAAACAAAAAGAACAAGATATTTAACTCAACTGACTAACTAGCAGTTACCCTCATGGCTGTCGGCCCAAAAAGAATTGACGGCGGCTCGAACCTTGCTCTTTGCAAACAAACACAAGCTCAGGCTTAAGTTTGAGTTTAGGCTTGTCACATATTAAAAAATATTTCGGCTTAGGATTTTGTCTCGGCTGTTAAAGTTTCGTTTAATAGTGCACTTAAGGCAAAACATGCAGGCTTCGAGTCGTTCTGGTACAAATCCGGTTGGCAGCTAAGTCAGTGTCAAGCAACTGCTTGCACCAGGCTTTTACACATTACAGGGTATACGAATCAAGCAAATTCCTTAGGCCCTGCGGCTCGAGGCAAAAACTTTGGCACAGCTTGGAAAAGTAGCAGCTGCCAGGACACATGAATCAGCACAAAGTCCTGGAAAGTTTTTCAATGATTTAATTAGAATTCTTTAAGGTAAATATCTACGAAACGTCCTTTGTGTGTGAGTTTAATTATGAAATTTTCAAGGTGACACAACAAAGCGACAATGTGCGTTTGTGCTTCAGGGGCGGGCGTGCCAAATTGCCAACGTTCACCATTCCTCAAGGTCTTGCGGTAAATTAGCCTGAGATGGTTATATAATGTGTTAACATGAAATGTTAAAGATATACTGTCTTTGATTAGCTAACTGAAATCGTTTTATCAAATGGCGTTTACAAATTAATTGGTGTCTTTAGCTCAAGACATGACCGTGGGCTGTTGCGATTCGAATCGAACTTGGGGGATCGAACCCGGCTGCAAGCAAATCAACCGGATCGAACCGGGCTGCAAGCGAATCAACTGGATCGAACACGTTCCTAACCTTTAATTTTGATTCGTGAACACGATTTTGATTCACGTAACAAAACAATTTTTCTTTGGTGCTGTTCATTGTGCCAATATACGACTTCGCCTTAAGGCCCATTTCGTATTTATGGTTTCCCACAGTACGGACTTTAAACCTTAATTTGTTATTGTGTGCTCAATCAAATTAAATAAATAATTCAATACATAATTAATATCAGCTCTAATTTAAATTTAACTAAGAAGTGGATATCGCCTTTCAAATTAATTTGTATGATGCTTTTAAGCTCACAACATTTAAGTTTAAGGTGGGCAAACAGTTCAAAAGCGCTTTACAGCCTTGCTGGAAATAGATCCCAGCATTCTTAATCAACACGAAATTCAATGAAAGTCGCAAATCCTTTGCTTGCAACCACAGTGTTGATAATTGCAACCCAGCTTAGTTATGCCTCATCTTTCAACTGTCGAAATTTCTTGGAATTTGTGTGCTACCCAGCAGTTTCCAATGACAACACGGCATCAGGCTCTTGACACTGATAATTGGCATCTCATGCCTAGCACTTCGCCTGCTTCGATTAAACTTCAATCTTTTATCGAGTTGGCAGCAGCGACAGCCGTGTGCAAATACGCAAATGGCGCTGGATGAAGGCAAAATCACGTCAAGATTAATGTTTATTGATTTTCGCGGCTTGTGATAATATTGCGCCTGGGACCAGGCACAGCAATCGAAGGGATCCTTTTTCGTTGGCTAAGTCTACTAGGGATTTGCAAAGCCTATTTAAAATTTGTCTTGTGCTTTGCTGAGTTTCGTTTGTATTTACATTTTACTGAATGCTTTTGAAAGCATCTTTTGGTATTGGTTTTAGACTTACTTCAAGTTTGGCGCCCTTGCGAAGAGTATTTCTCGAAGCTCTTTAGCTGTAAGAAAAACAATAGGTCAAAGTCTTTGAAGGGATTTTCAACAGGCAATGATTCTTTAACATTCACGAAAATAGCTGTTAGCTAGCTAAGACCTTGAAATTTTTCACGCATCTTCCACCGCTGGGTGTGGATTTGTAAATATCTCTGTAATAAGTCACATGCGAATTTTGTAATAATGTAGAACGCATAAAAAAAAAAACTATTTTGCCAAACAAATTTTTCACCCACATTCCAATTTTGCGCGTGGAATTCGTTCATATTTAACTTAAGCTTAATCTTAATGAAAAAATAATGTTTCGCAAACAGAAATAATTAATTCCAGGCGATAACTGATAGTTCTCTCTTTTGCTTTATATTTTACATCTGGTGAATATGAATTTATTGACAAGCTATCAACGCGTGCCATTGCTCGGAACTACTTGGATTCGCCTGCCAGACTAAGTGGCTTGTCCAGTATGACTAATAAACCGCACGCGAAATCTAGAAGCTAATCGTTATCTGATGAAGAATTGATATTGATTTTGTCCCAGTTATTGCCAAAGCCGTTGCTAGTTAGTCATACAGCGGTGGCTAAATGATTAGAAATGAGATAATTTGAGGCACATTCTAGTTCAAATTCAATATACCCTTGAAGGATTTTGGGGGTCGTCGTCTACTAAAGCAATGGACATGTTGGCATAATTATTCCTACACTTTATATGAGAAGCTCGATAACCTGGCGTTTTAGCCAAAATTCAGATGATGAATCACTTAAAGTTAATTGTATGTATTATTTGATGTTCATGCTCAATAATATGGAAAAGCATGACTTGATAAGCTATCAGCTAAGGTGCTTCAGCTATATCTTGGTTAAGGCTTCCTACCTCCATACGCCACGCTTATCGCATTATAATGCTTGATATTAGGCTCACATATAAGGGCTGCACCTAACAATACTTTGTCAAATACAAATTCGCACACGACATGGATATAACCATTGGAACGCTGCTGCTCTTCGGGCTGACTTTGGTCAACTCCTTACAACTGGATCCAGCTGACTTGGTCTCCATGAAGGATTACCAAAGGATTATGGAATTTCGTCCACTTGCCGTGGAGTTCTCGCAACACTTTCGGAATATAACACAGGAAGACTTGGATTTAGAGAGTACAAGGTTACCCGACAAGCAGGATTTGCAGTGTCTGGCGGATATGACTCAGCTGATGGCTGGCCTGACTTCTGGCAAACTCTGGACTATAAAAAGTAGGTGTACCTTAAAGACTAGAAGAACTTCAGTTGACTTTTAGGCTTTTACTCTACGGAAACCTGATCGACATGGGAAACTACGATGAGTGCGTCGGGATTAACAAAGCAATTTCCGATAACTATAATATACAAGGAAAATACTGCCGAGCAAAGCTAACTTTAGTCGCACCTACAACAAAGCTGCAAGTGGGAATTTGCTTACCGGCTTCCTGCTCGGCCGCAAATATGAATACATTTCTAAAACAACTGATAAAAAAGCTAATTGGCCTCAACATCAACACCCAATTTGTGAGCGAGGATGCCTGCAGGACTTCCGATCGAGAACCTTTTGACGGTCTAACCATATTTACCATGTAAGTGAAACTTATTTAAAAATCTATCTTCCCTCATTCAGTTTGTTTTCTTTTCAGTGTACTACTTTCAGTATTGGGTGCTGTCGCAGTTCTGGCCACAATTTGCGATTACTTTCTTTTTGAAGATCAAAGTGAGTCCTTAACAAACTAATTACTGAAAATATAAAATTTCTTAATCCCCCGTTTCGTAGAACAACTTCCCTTTTTGGTAAAGGCCTTCTCCATACGCGCCAATTCCCGAACTCTTTTCCGCCTGGTGGAACCTAATTCGAATCCCAATGTCATCGACTGTCTCCATGGCATGCGATGCTTATCCCTCATTTGGGTCGTCTTTGGACATCAATATTTATTAGTCATTCAAGCGCCAATTATGAACATGCTGAACTTCTACTATGTAGGTATTCCTATCAAGGGTGACTAGTACCCAATATAAACCGCATTTTGCTTTAACAGTGGGTAGAAAAGCCGTTTACCAACTTTATAAGTCATGCTGTGTTCTCTGTGGATACCTTCTTATTCCTCAGTGGCTTGTTATTGGTCGTGATTTCCATGCGTTCCCTGGAAAGGTAAGTTTGGAGCGCCCTGCAAATCCATCCATTACAAACCACCTCTTGTTTATCAGAACTAAGGGAAGGTTAAACATTCCATTGATGTATCTCCATCGATATTTGCGACTCACTCCGATTGTGGCTGTGGCCATACTTATCTATATGAAACTGCTGCCTTACTTGGGAGATGGTCCCATGTTTAACAGCATTCATTTTGATGACTATAGTCGCTGTGAACGCACTTGGTTCTGGAGCTTACTCTATCTCCAAAACTATGCCACTGCAGAACTGGTAAGCTAACCCAAGAAGACTGATCAGAATAATCCCAACTCGTTGCTCCGATTTTAGTGCCTCAATCACACCTGGTATTTGGCTGTGGATATGCAGCTTTATATACTCTCACCGATATTTCTGCTAACTTTGTATAAGTGGGGCAAGAAAGCTGCAGCTGGAATATTTGTTTTCATGCTTCTGCTTTCTGCCTGCCTCTTCAGCACGATGATGACCAATAAGTATCCCTCTTATCTGGAGTAAGTTATTGGATTAATAATGCATCTATATGTTTATGTTGCTAATTCCGCCACTCACTCTCTTTGCAGGCATGGAATAATTGGTATTGGCCAGCGAAAGCTATATTTTGCCACCCATAGACATGCAGCTCCTTGGTTGATCGGCGCTCTGTTCGGCTATTTCCTGCATGTGAATCGCCACAAGAATTTTCAGCTGAGCCGCATTATGATCTGGCTAGGCTGGCTCATTAGCTTGACACTGATATTCACCTCTATATTCGCCCTCCACGCATCTGCTCAATGGTCTGCGCCAAACCTGACCTTGCTGGAGGCGGCCTCCTACTATACACTAAGCCGCATCGCTTGGCCTCTGGCCTTGTGCTGGGTGGTGTTTGCCTGCATGAGGGGCTATGGTGGATTGGCCAATAGCTTCCTTTCTTCTCCAATGTGGCAGCCGCTCTCGAAACTGTCCTATTGCGCCTACATCTTTCACATAGTCATACAACAAACCAACGTTGGACGCATACGGACAAGCATTTATTTCTCCGACTACGATTTGGTAAGAGGAACAAAAAAAATGGCTCCTTGATCTGTGATTTATGTATATTTATGTTTTCGTCTGAAGATGCTTATCTTTTGGGGCGCCTTTGGCTTTACCGTTATTTTATCTTACGTGATGTACATCATCGTAGAGGCACCTTTTGGCGTGCTGGAAACCATGCTTATGCCGAATCGTAGAACTCCTCCAAAGGCTAATACCCCAGTCGAGTCACCTGATGTACCTCCAGTTGAAGCTACCCTTGAAGCCCCTAAAACAAATTTAGCAACATTGGAGGAGCAGCATATGGAAGAACACACTTCAAGCACAGTGGCGAATTAAGGCATCCAACTCAAATATAATATTTATATTTAAAGGTTTTAAAGAAGATCCTCCTTACCATTTTCTTCGCTGTTGAAATATATATGTATCGTGTCTTTGGCAGCCAAAAACATGCCAAAAACATGTCAATAGCATAACATATTATGTAAAATGTAATGTTAACTTATTTTGATTAATCAAAAGTTGAATCATCAGTAGATAAGATATTTGTTTTACTACGAAATTACAAGTAATCAAATCCCGAGAAATCAACTCCCGACTAATCAACACCCCGCTTAAGTGTATACAATCTTGGTGTAAGCGACGTGTAAAAGAAAAAGCAAAGGCTATAATAAAATGTCAGGTCAATTACCTTAAACAGCAACATTATTTGAGCAAACATCTTGTTTAAATTCAATAATCAAAAATACATTTTTTTAATTAATTTGATTCCTTATTTTTCAGAATTTTCGACTGCAAAGTCAAGTCAATTACATGTACAACCAAAAGTCCAAATCAGATATAGAATATGAGCTTAAGCAATTATTAGAATATTTTCAACTCTTCAGAATTTCCTTTGAAATTTAAATTTAGTATTCCATAGAACTCATGTTAATTTTTTATTTGATAAATTATCAATACAAGTTCTTTAGCTATAACTCGGAACTGTTTGTATTTACTTGTCAGATGGCTTGTCGAGTGTGACCAATATGACGTATAAGAAAACCGAATAGCTAATCGCTTGATTATTTAGGAAGCGATATTGCTTTTTTCGAGCTGTTACAAAGGCCGTTGGCAGTAGCTTTTGAGCGATAAGGAATAATTAAAATGTTGTAGCGGACACCTTGTTATCGAAAGGGACCAAAGAAATATATATAAAGAAATATACCCTTGCAGTCTTTTGATGCTCTATGCCTATTTGCAAGACATGAAAATATTTGCACAACTGTGTATCAAACCTGTATATCAAATTTAAATTCATGAGCACATGACCTGAAATTTTCTGCCGAAATTTGTATTATGACTGACGTGATGTTGATAGTATTATACAGAATCTCCTCAAGTCAAAAGAATCGGACGAACAATAAAAAAAGGCATTGCTTGATAAGGTATCAGCTATATCTCGATGAAGGCTTCCTATCCCCAAACACTATACTTATCGCCATACTTTGCCTGATATTTTCTGAATATAAAAGGGCTGCACCTAACAAAACTTTGTCAAATATAAATTCGCACACGACATGGATATAACCATTGGAACGCTGCTGCTCTTCGGGCTGACTTTGGTCAATTCCTTACAACTGGATCCAGCTGACTTGGTCTCCATGAAGGATTGCCAAAGGATTATGGAATTTCGTCCACTTGCCGTGGAGTTCTCGCAACACTTTCGGAATATAACACAGGCAGACTTGGATATACCGAGTACAAGGTTACCCGACAAGCAGAATTTGCTGTGTCTGGCGGATATGACTCAGCTGATGGCTGGCCTGACCTCTGGCAAACTCTGGACGATAAAAAGTAGGTGTACCTTAAAGACTAGAAGAACTTCAGTTGACTTCTTATGATTTTAGTGTTCGATTCGTGGGGCTCATTTCCCAAGGGTTTACTCTACGGAAACCTGATCGACATGGGAAACTACGATGAGTGCGTCGGGATTAACAAAGCAATATCCGATAACTATAATATCCAAGGAAAATATTGCCGAGCAAAGCTAACTTTAGTCGAACCTGCACTTAAGCTGCAAGTGGGAATTTGCTTACCGGCCTCCTGCTCGGCCGCAAATATGAATACATTTCTAAAACAACTGATAAAAAAGCTAATTGGCCTCAATATCAACACCCACTTTGTGAGCGAGGATGCCTGCAGGACTGCCGATCGAGAACCTTTTGACGGTCTAACTATATTTACCATGTAAGTGAAACTTATTTAAAAATCTATCTTCCCTCATTCAGTTTGCTTTCTTTTCAGTGTACTACTCTCAGTATTGGGTGCTGTCGCAGTTCTGGCCACTATTTGCGATTACTTTCTTTTTGAAGACCAAAGTGAGTCCTTAAAAAAATAATAACAGAAATGAGTCTATTTCTCAATCGTCCTGTTTGCAGAAAAACTTCCCTTTCTGATAAAGGCCTTTTCCATACGCGCCAATTCCCGAGCTCTTTTCTGCCTGGTGGAGCCCAATTCGAAGCCCAATGTTATCGACTGTCTCCATGGCATGCGCTGCTTATCCCTCATCTGGGTAATTTTTGGACATGAATACATAATAGCCATGATAGCTCCAAATATGAACTTCCTGACCGTATATAGGGTAAGTTTTTCAAACAGCGTGGTCTAGTTCCAAATATATATTTTTACCTAAACAGTGGTTCGAGAAACCTTTTAGCAACTTTATAACTCGCGGTGTATTTTCTGTGGACACCTTCTTATTCCTCAGTGGCTTGTTATTGGTCGTGATTTCCATGCGTTCCCTGGAAAGGTAAGTTTGGAGCGCCCTGCAAATCCATCCATTACAAACCACCTCTTGTTTATCAGAACTAAGGGAAGGTTAAACATTCCATTGATGTATCTCCATCGATATTTGCGACTCACTCCGATTGTGGCTGTGGCCATACTTATCTATATGAAACTGCTGCCTTACTTGGGAGATGGTCCCATGTTTAACAGCATTCATTTTGATGACTATAGTCGCTGTGAACGCACCTGGTTCTGGAGTTTACTCTATCTCCAAAACTATGCCACTGCAGAACTGGTAAGCTAGCCCAAAAAGACTGATTAGAATAATTAGAATAATCGTTGCTCCGATTTTAGTGCATTAGTCACACCTGGTATTTGGCTGTGGATATGCAGCTTTATATACTCTCACCGATATTTCTGCTCGCTTTGTATAAGTGGGGCAAGAAAGCTGCAGCTGGAATATTTGTTTTCATGCTTCTGCTTTCTGCCTGCCTCTTCAGCACGATGATGACCAATAAGTATCCCATTAATATGGAGTAAGTTACTGGGCTTTAAAAGGCATCAATATTGGTATTACTAATTATTTGACTCTCTCTATGCAGGCAAGGACTCCTCGCTGGTGAAGGTCAACGCAAACTTTACTTTGCCACACACACGCATGCAGCTCCTTGGTTGATCGGCGCTCTGTTCGGCTATTTCCTGCATGTGAATCGCAACAAGAATTTTCAGCTGAGCCGCATTATGATCTGGCTAGGCTGGCTCATTAGCTTGACACTGATATTCACCTCTATATTCGCCCTCCACGCATCTGCTCAATGGTCTGCGCCAAACCTGACCTTGCTGGAGGCGGCCTCCTACTATACACTAAGCCGCATCGCTTGGCCTCTGGCCTTGTGCTGGGTGGTGTTTGCCTGCATGAGAGGCTATGGTGGATTGGCCAATAGCTTCCTTTCTTCACCAATGTGGCAGCCGCTCTCGAAACTGTCCTATTGCGCCTACATCTTTCATATAGTCGTACAACAAACCAACGTTGGACGCATACGGACAAGCCTTTATTTCTCCGACTACGATTTGGTAAGAGAGAGAGCACAAGGAAGAAGAATGACTCTCTGGATTGTGATTACATTTCATACATTATTTCTTCGTCCTATAGATGCTACTCTTTTGGGGCACCTTCGCCTTCACCGTACTTATGGCATACGTGATGTACATCATAGTAGAGGCACCCTTTGGCGTTCTAGAAACCATGCTAATGCCCAATCGTAGAGCTGCTCCAAAGGCTACCAACCCCGTTGAGTCATCAGTTGTGCCTACAGTTGAACCCACAATCGAAACCCCAAAAACAAATTTAGCTACAGTGGTGGAGCAAGATGTAGAAGCATCAACAGCTAGCGCAACGGCAAGTTAAGGCCCTTAGCTCAACTCTTATTTAAACTTAGTTTAAGGATTGTCACATCTATAATTTAATAATATAATATTGTGCCTGAACCTGATGTCAATGCTCATAAACGTATCTCATATAACACCAATTCTGATTATTCAAATAATATACAGCTTAATGTAAGCCAATTCAACATAATCTTGTTCGAGATGCTTTTTATGTTAGGTTTATACCTTTTCAGTATAAGAGAGATGAAAAAGCTTTTATTAATCTCGCTATATTACTGATATTTGGTGAATATATAAGGGCTGCAGTTAACAAATGTTGCTGCTCTTTGGGCCAAATTTGTTCAATTGCTTACAACTGGATCCAGTTGAATTAGTCTCCATGGAGAATAACCAAAGAAATATTAAAAACGCCCTTTGCCTCTATATAGAAATTATTCATTATGTTACTGAGTCGTCTCCCGCAACCCAGGTCGAGTTCCGATGTCATCGACTGTCTCCGTGGCACGCGCTGCTTGTCCCTAATCTGAGTCATCACGTTAGATTTTGTTTATTGGAAACGAAACTCAATTAAGCCAGATTTGCTACTATTTTCAGTGATTGGAACCAAGATAGAGCCGCAGACAGCAGCTATCCCAGAGATGAGCCAATTGCGCAGTCAGTAGCTAATCTATAAAACAACAGGTGTTAAGCTCCAAACATAGACTGATTTGTACATAGATATAGTTCAAAAGAATGTTATTTAAAGAGTTCCACGATTCCCAAAGCAAATCTAATCGCGTTCAGTCCATGAAACAGAAAGTGTGTGTGACAATCAGGCGCAAGAAGTAACGTGAGTTCTCTAGTCCGCAGTGCCAGACTAGAAGATGCCCTGTGCAGAGAAATACCGATGTTTTTAAAATGGAACGATATATAAAATACTTTTATGATAAACTCGTTAGATATAGGAGAATATATATTCAAAATTACAAGTCTGTATGTTTTCAAATTTCAGAGATCGACAGACCTGGCTAAATCGACCCATTTTTGGTCCTGATAAAATATTGATATGCTTTTTGGGGTCCAATTGCTACTTACATTTGCACAAAACCATTATACCCCTTTTAAGTGGTTACAGGGTATAACAACCAACTTAACGTTAATGATCCTTATATTAATTATCCTTAATTAAGAAGCCACAAAATTACGCGGCGTAACCCAGGTTTTTATTTTTTATATTATAATCATATTATATTGATATTATTTGGTATTATTATATGATACAGTATATGATACAGTTGTTGGCAATACTAGATGGTCAACTGGGGCCGATAATCAATCATTTCTTTTTTACAACAAAATGTCACTTGTTATTATACCCTGAAACCATTAACCATTAGCCGAGTCGATCTAGCCATGTCCGTCTGTCTGTCTGTCTGTCCGTCCGTCCGTCCGTCCGTATGTATGAACGCAAGGATCTCAGAACCACTTAGAGCTAGCGACTGAAATATTAGATGTAGGTGCGCCTAGTGCCTGCGCAGATCGAGTTTGTTTCCGATAATCGATAACCTATTCCGTTTCCAAGCAATCGATAAATATCGATAACGATATCCTTTTTTTTTTGGGCAATTTTGATAAATAACAAGAGCTAGAGTCACGAAACTTGATATATAGCTTCTAAAATAGAATATATATATGCACTTGATGTTGGAAGAAGAGGTATTCAGTGTATTCCCTAGTTGGGAGCTCCCGACTAGAACATCTTACTTGTTATAATGCTCCTTTTGTTTACAATCAGTAAAATAGTTCAGTGATTATAATCATCTTTAACACTGCAATACTATTAAATGATTATATTATTTATGTACTAACATGACATAACTAAATAAATGGCAATCAAAAAGTCGGTCATTGCGCTTTCCCTTAATGACTCAGCCACATAAATAACTGATCTACGATATACTAGTTAATTTATAGATTAGTCGTGACGTCGAGTTCAATAAAATCGGTCCCTTTTAGATTAGATTAACTGCAAGTTGCACAGACTACCTATTAATTGATATGAAAACGCTCAAGATTGATCTAGTCGGGACTATCCGACTAGGAGCTACCCAGCTCTAAAAGATTCATGCCAAAATTCAGAGGCAAACTCACTCTCACTCTAATCAGCATTATAGAAATATGCTCAGAAAAGTACAACTGAAAATCGATGTAAATCGATTTTTGAGTAATTGGCGGGAGCTTTTGATATAAATATTTGTACTGCATATATTGCAGCTCGTTTACTTTCAGAGAAGAACGGACAGACGGAACAGGATTAATACGATAAGTATTCTTTTTATGCATCCTCAATATTGGGTATCAAAATAGCACTCTAAAACAAATTGATAATAATCTGCACGGTTTGGAAGGGGTTTCACGCCCCGATAAGCCCCTAACTGAAGTACTTCAAATATATCAAGCGTATTTGAGCGAAAGTTTTATTTTTGTGCCAACTTAGAAGCTTATCAGGATTTTTTGGAGCGTATATAACGCGTGTGTTTTTTTAGAATTGGCTCAATACTCACTAAACAGCTCTACTATGGACATGGTAAAAATAATTGTTGCGCTTTTGCTCTTTGGGCTAGCTTTGGTCAGTTCGCTGCAGCTAAAACCAGATGACTTAGTTGCCATGGAGGACTACCAAAGGATGGTGGAATTACGTCCACTTGCCGTCGAGTTTTCACAACACTTTAGGAACATAACTCAAAAGGACCTGGATTTGCCGAGCACACGGCTACCCAGCCAGCAGGATCTGCAGTGCCTGGCAGATATGAGTGAGCTATTGGGTGGCCTTACCTCTGGCAGTTTCTGGGCCATAAAGAGTATGTCGTATACACATTTAAAAGTACTTGAATTAAACTCTTAAGATTTTAGTGTTCGATTCATGGGGCACTTTCCCCAAGGGCGTGATTTATGGAAACCTAATGGACATGGGCAATTACGATGAGTGCATTGGCATAACCAAGGCCATTGGCGATAGCCATGCCATAAAGGGCAAGTACTGCTTTGCGGGCCTATCTTTGGCCCAACTTGGCATTAGGATAAGAACCGCCGTTTGTTTTCCCGCCTCCTGCGCCGCAACCCACATGGATACATTCCTGCAACAATTGCTGCAAAAACTTCTTAATATCCAAATAACGCAGCCCTTGGTCAGTGAGGATAGCTGCAGGACCTCGGATCGTGAACCCAACGACGCTCTAACCATATTTACTATGTAAGTATGCAAATCAATCAGACGCAGTCGCAGTTACAATTTCAAGTTTTTGTTTAACAGTGTTTTAGTCTCGCTTCTGCTTGCCTGCGTCATCTTGACAACTATCTATGATTATTTCTATTGCGAGGATCAGAGTAAGTGGAAAACAAATGGGCAATACTTTTTATACCCTGTACACACTGCGGTTGGGTAAAGAGAGAGAAAAATAAGACAGAATAAGTCAGACGACAAACTGATTCGATCGAGCCTGGCCGGGTGTCCGCTTCACGAATTTTTCGGTCTTTGTGTCCTCCGTATGTCACGGAAAATGAAGATCTTAACCCAAATTATCGATAACTCAACTCAACTAAAATAAATCGATACGAAACGAATTCGATATCCATCGATTTTAAGCACAAGCTATTTGCTATTATAAGCTTAAGAATATCTAAATTTTGAAACGCCTCCTTGAAAATTGCTTTACAATCGCATGAATGAAGCTATTTACAGGGTATGCTCTAGTCAGACATTCTCGAATAGAGCAAAAGTATTTGTTTTTCATTATCTTTAACTCACGCAGCGCAACTGCCTGCCTTGATTAAGATCTTCTCGGCACGTGCCAATTCCCGAGCGCTCTTTCGCCTGGTGGAGCCCAATTCGAATCCCAATGTCATCGACTGTCTCCATGGCATGCGTTGCATGTCGCTCATCTGGGTTATCTTTGGACATCAATACCTGTTCGCTTTGCTAGCGCCGAATGTCAACCAATTTCGCTTGAAATGGGTAATGGTTAACAGCTTGCTGATTGCGTAAATACGGATGCTTTTATAAAAGACTTTTGCTTTCTCTTTTAGTGGTTCGAAAATCCGTACACCAGCCTTGTCCTACATGGTACGTTCTCCGTGGATACATTCTTCTTTCTGAGTGGCCTGTTGTTAGTCATGATTTCTATGCGTTCGTTGGAAAAGTAAGTTTAAAGTGAGCCACAAATCCCCTAGTTTCCAGCTACTCTTTGTTTCGCAGAACCAAGGGAAGATTAAACATTCCATTGATGTATCTTCATCGTTATTTGCGGCTCACGCCCATTGTGGCCCTGGCCATACTCGTGTATATGAAACTGCTTCCACTTTTGGGCGATGGTCCCCTGTTTGATAGCATTAAATTTGATGATTACAATCACTGCAAGAGCACCTGGTTCTGGACTTTGCTCTACTTGCAAAACTATGCGACTCCAGATCTGGCAAGCTTTACTTCTATAGAAACCAAGCGACCCTATGAACCTAACCCGTCTTTTGCTCTCCTTAGTGCATCAATCATAGCTGGTATTTGGCTGTGGATATGCAGCTTTACATACTCTCACCCATATTTCTGCTCGCTTTGTATAAGTGGGGCAAGCAAGCTGCAGCTGGAATATTTGTTTTTATGCTTCTGCTCTCCGCCTGCCTCTTCAGCACAATGATGATCAAGAGATATCCTATATTTTTGGAGTAAGTCCAGAATGAATACGCTAAGTATAAATGCAAATGCCTGTTATTACTTTCCACACAGAATCGGTCTCACTCCAGATGAGGCTCAGCGTAAGCTCTACTATGCCACACACACACATGCAGCTCCTTGGCTAATCGGGCTACTCTTTGGCTATTTCCTGCATGTGAATCGCAACAGAACGTTTCAGCTAAACCGCATTAAGATCTGGCTGGGCTGGGTTGTGTGCTTGGCTTTGATTTTCACCTCGTTATTTGTGCTATATCCCTTTGCCGATTGGAGAAATCCGGCGTTGACCATGCTAGAAGAGGCCCTTTACTATACACTGACCCGCATCGCCTGGCCCCTGAGCCTGTGCTGGGTGGTGTTCGCCTGCATGAGGGGCTATGGT